CACACACACACACACACACACACACACACACGCGCGCGCACACACACACACACACACACACACACACACACACACTCACATCCACACGTGCACACACGCACACACACTTTTTTCTTTTTTTTTCCAAAAAAGTTCCCCATCAGCCCAGTAGAGGAGGTGATATGAGCATCCCCCTATAGCTCGCAGCCCATCAGAGTTGCATTTTATACACCTGGAAGCTTTCAACATTAATTCAATGTTCTGGGGCATTTTTGGCTTTGGGGGGCATTGGAGGCGCGGCGCACTGGGCCCAGGTAGAATGGAAAGGGCAAGTACCCGTGGTCAGGGAAAATTGGCAAGTACCTGCCGTCGGGAAACAAGCTGGGTCCAGGTCGAACGGCCAGTGGGATTCTGAAGCGAAGGGCAAGTACCTGCGGGAAAAGTTTGAAACGGCGCGGTACACACACACACACACACACACACACACACACACACACACACACACACATGCGTGTGCGCTGCCCTGCCGGCAACTCTCTCTCTCTCTCTCTCTCTCTCTCTCTCTCTCTCTCTCTCTCTCTCTCTCTCTCTCTCTCTGTGTGTGTGTTATGAACATGATTGTCCGTTGAAATCTTATCAACGTTCACTCACAGAAACCCCCGTACACGCCCATACATGCACAGCAAGAAGGGGAGAGGTAGTGGAGTGTCACACCGGCCAACAAAAGGAACGCAGAGAAGACTTGGAGGAGCGAAGTGACAGAACACACGAAACTGTGGATTCTCTCCACACAAGTCCCAACAATCATTCACAGAAGACAACCGAGTGATCACAACCAGAAATCAATGAAGAGATGACAACTCAAACACAGTAATACAACTGTTTATTAAACTCGGAGCATCGTTTTCACTGAATAACCTCAGAACCCTGTTGCGCTACCCTCAGAGGGGTAGCGCCTCAACCCCACACACACCGAGCAGCTAAAAATAGCACCAGAACCCCAGGTAACACCCAGCGCCACCCTGACATCCAACTCAGTGGCCTGCGCCAAGATGAAACAAGCTCCTAGAGCCAATCGCCACCCAGGTGATGAAGAAGAAGCTCAGCGTCAACAGTCCCTGATGAAGATGAAGTCCAGACGATGATATCCTCTGAGAAGATGCAGCTATGCCTGCATCGCCACTGGGACCCTACTCCTGAGGAGGGTCAGCAGTGCACCACGTGCTCCAACACATCAGACCTTTGATAGCCCAGACCGCTTTGATTCCCAAAGAGTCAGAGCGGACAGCGTTGACCCCAGTCTGGTCAGCGCTCCAAGGTCTGGCTATGTCCGTCGTCTCCCACATCGGAATCAGCAACCACGACCTGATACCGTGTGCGCAGCAACTTCCACCACGAAGTGTCAACTGCCAAAAGCCCAGGACCCATGTCCCCATCCCATCTATACTCTAGACTAGCCTAGTGTCACACGACCTAGACCGGATTGACTGACCGACCGGTACCATTTTTGTTTCGGCCTCTCCCTACCCGGCTACAGGCTATAGGACCGTCTATTAGCGTAGGCCTATTGGGTCTGGCTGTCCTAGGGGTAGCTCGGGTCTGCTATTCGCAGTTACGGTAACTGTAAGCAATTCGAGTTAGTACTGGGACCATATCTCCCATATTTACAAATACGTCCCTCACGAATTTTCCTTACAGGTAGGTCTCTCGGTTAGCCCTCCGCCAAACAAAATTACGAATCTGCCCCTACCTATGGTACAGCCTCGTTTGAGAGAGGCTACAGGCAACCTGGAACCAGCAAGTTCTTGCAGACCTACCCTCCCCCGGAGCGAGGACCTCTGAGCTAGGGGCGTAGGCGTGCAGAGCGTCGAAGGGGTTCTCCCTTTTGAGCAGCCTCATATTTGAGGATAACAGACTTTGCTGTTTTCAGAAGCTCCTTGCGAGTAAACCAGCGATCCTCAGTATGGGGCTGGTAAAGAAACTTCACAAGGTACTCCTTATCCGGGCCTGTACCATACTCATCCTCAACTTTTTCCACCTCATATCCCTTCCCAGGGATCGGGGGACCAAATTGAGGAGGCCTGTCTGGAAATGCATCAGCTGGGACAAACGGCAACAGCTTGGATGCATGAAAGACATGGTAGGTTTGTAGATGCAGTGGGACATCCACATGATAAGGTGGCCCAAAAGGGTCAGCTCCCACTGTATCCAAAACCTGCCATGGACCCATATAACGCGGCAACAGCTTGGGCGAAATGTCCTCCTCCCGCGATCGCTCAGAACTGAGTACCCAGACCCAGTCACCAGCGTGGATGGGGGATGGTCGACGATGCTTGTTAGCCTGCTGGACCATAGCCTTTTGGGCTTTGAGCAGGTTAACTCTGGCTTGTTCGATATCCCTCTCGTACTGTCTAGTGAACGCTGCAGTCCCAGGAGTCAGTCTAGGGGTAGCCTTATGGATGATGTCATCGAGAGGCTGTCGTGGCTCACGTCCCCAATGCAACCGATAAGGGGTGAACCCTGTGGAGGAGTGTACAGACGTGTTGTACACTAGCTGTGCCCGTCCTAGATGGAGATCCCAATCCTGCTGATCAGGGCTGATCACAGGACGTAGCAACTGGTAAACAATCTGGTTCATCACTTCAGCCTGCCCATTGGCTTCAGGATGACGACCAGATGTCATATCCAGTCTAGAATGGAGGTAGTCCTTGCAATAAGACTGCCACTCATTGCTGCAGAAACGCGGATCTCTATCGCTGACAATGGAGGTGGGTGGTCCATGATGAGTAACCCACCTATCCGCAAAGGCCGCCTGCACGGCTGGGACTCTGGCTTCCTCTGGCAGAGGAATAAACTCCGCGTACTTGGAGAACCTGTCCACACACACCATGACCTGACGCATACCACGAGGAGTGGTCCTCCCCAGGTCAGTGAAATCAATAGCCACTGACTGTGCTGGTGCATCAGGGATGGGAAGTGGCTGCAGCAGGCTAAGGGGAGCTCGGTGAACGACCTTGTTCCTTTGGCACAACTCACAGGTCTCAACATAGTGCAGCAGGTCTTTCCTCATCTCCGACCAGAAGAACCACTGCGACAGGGCCGCCAACGATTTCAAGGCCCCAAAGTGGCCGCGAGCATCATGACACTCAAACATAAAAAGTGTTTTCAGTTGGCGGTCCTGAGGGATGCACAGACGTTCCTCCCCTCTGCTGCAAGTGTACAGCAGATCTGAAACCAGAATGTATCCTGGTTCAGAGGCAGGATCAGTCTATAGATTCCTAACAATCGGGCCAAAAATCGGGCCCTGTGGCAATAACTGCGCAATGGTCTGACGGGTGCTCTCCCCAAAAGTATGAGTAGAGGAGATCAGGCAGAGAGCACCAGGCCTACGAGAAAAGGCGTCTGCTACACGATTGTAGAAGCCCTTCTTGTGTTTCAGTTCAACGTCAAACAGATCAATGAACTGAATATAGCGCGCAAGCTTGTCATTCAGTTCCCCTTGGGTCTTCATCCACTGTAAGGTGGAGTGATCTGAATAGATCTGGAAGTGCCTGCCCATGAGGAAATGCTTCCAATGCTTTAGCGCTGACACTAGAGCATATAGCTCTTTCTCGTACGTGGAATCTTGCAGCTTCTTTACTTTGATCTTCTTACACATGTACTCAACCGGCTGCAGACCATGCCCACCATCCTGCTGAAGTACTGCCCCAACCCCATACTGCCGTCGGGAAACGCGTTGGGCCCAGGTCGAACAGCCAGTGGGATTCAAAAGCGAAGGGCAAGTACCTGCGGGGAAAGTTTGAAACGACGCGGTACACACACACACACGCACACATGCGTGTGCGCCAACGTGCGCTGCCCTGCCACCATCTCTCTCTCTCTCTCTCTCTCTCTCTCTCTCTCTCTCTCTCTCTCTCTCTCTCTCTCTCTCTCTCTCTCTCTCTCTCTCTCTCTCCCCACATCCTGCTTTTGAACCTGGATGATGAAACCTTGTTCATCACACACGCACATACGAACTACGGGTTGTGCATCCGTGTCCTTACGAAAAGTGAATGACATCAAATAGTGGAAAAATGTCCTTCAGGTTCAAAAAGGAACCAGTGGAGGGAGGGGAGGAAGAGCAAAAAAATAGTGGGAAAATAATGGAAAATAGTAGAAAGTACTAGAAACGTAGTGGGAAAATTCAGAATAGTGGAAAAATAGTAGAAAAATAGCAGAAAAACAGTAGGAAAAAACAGTAGAAAAATAGTGGGAAAATAGTGAAAAAATAGTGGGAAATTTGGGAACATGGTGGAAAAGCGGTGGAAAAATACCAGATGATACCGCGACTGTTCTGGTCGTGTCGGAACCACTTGTTCAATCCTCCCTTTTTTTGCCAGGATAATCTGGCTGGATATCCAGTTGGATTATCTGGATGGACATTTCACATCATCCCATCCGCATACGTATTTTCCAGCCCTGCTCCGGCCAAATCAGACTTGCCGTCAACTTCACTTCAACATGCATACATGCAGGTGTCGATGGCAAAACAACTTTCTCAAAGTAGAATCAGAAACAAGGCAGGATTAACCATCGGGCCTAGCGCAGTTGGTACACCCATCAAAATTTTGAAATGCAAACCTGAGTTCAAATCCAAATCAGATGCAAACCAGATGACCAGAATAGAATCATTCTGAAGTACCTGCGGCCGGTCAGTTCAATGGTGATATATCAAGGCCGTCGCACTTTTTTTTTTCACCCAAAAAAAGAGAGGGGAATAACTCGAAAGGGAGGATATCCGGTCCCAGGCAATTCAGAGTCACTATTATTATCGTTGTCCCGGTGTCCCACAGGATTATTATGGCCCCACAAGTGTCCCACAGGATTACTATGGTCCCACAAGTGTCCCACAGGATTATTATGGTCCCAAGTGTCCAGAGAATTATTTGTCATGATTCTTTGTTCAACCAACTTTCGGTTATTAGTACTTATTACCGACATTCAGCGTTCCAAGGCTTAGAGAGAGTAGCAAGTGATTTACTAGATGACCCGTCCGTCACGCCTTCGCCGGCAAAAACAGGAGAAAAAAAAAAAGAGCACAAAATAAAGCATAATGAATTGTCCTATCTCATTTGCCACTTCTTTCACAATAGGAAAAAAATAAAGAACCTGACAGCGGGCAGAAATCCACTGGCAAGAAAAAAAAAAAGAGGAGGGAATGCCACCCAACTTGATTTTTCCCCTCTTACTGTGTGTTTTGTTTGGGAAGCCGTTAGATTTCTCAGCATCATTTTCTTTTGTTATGTGTGTAATGACCCGTCAATACACGGACTGAAACATACAGTCGATTTCTGATTTCTGCTCATAGGATGCATGCCGTACTA